AAAGATCCCTACTTTCAGCTCCGCTTCCTGCTTCAGCCCCATTTCCCTCTAACTATCCCCATTTCAGATTTTCACCCTCAGCACAGCTACGGCCTCAGGTTCTCAAGCTGCAGCTACAGTCCATCCTCATATTCTCGCTCCTAATTTGTGCCGCCAGACATCGGTAAAGATGTCCATCTTGTTTCTCTCCTATAAGACAGCTCTGAATTTGATTACCAAGTAGTGGATTGTGGATGTATTGCTGTTACTCTAAAATCCTGGAATCTGACCTGCTTGAGTCACCCAAGAATTTAAAATTGGATCAAATATTTAAATCTCAGCAAGACAGTGAAAATTACACTGTGCTGGTAGTTATTATCTGATATTTCTTTAATTATCTGACAGAAGTAGCAAATACCAGGTCAGTATAACTCTGTTATTGAGCATCTACTGTAGCCAGGGATCCAGCAGTATTGTTAAGATAATATATTGTTTATATAATGAAAAAAAATCATAATGAAGACTAATTCAAATAAATATCAAATGGATTCACATTGAAAGAGTGATAAACAGATCATAGCCATTCTTAGAGCTGCTTTTGTTACCATGAAACAAAATGTCTTTCAGACAAAACAAGCAGGAGATGCAATGTCCAAAAACAAAGCAAACACTGAGGGATCCAACAAGAATACATTAGGGAAAAGTTCACAATGAAGAACAGAACTAAAGGAGGGCTGATAGAGTGAAAGTTTAACCAGGGAATTCTTTCTAAAGATAGATTGGGCTTACTAAAGAGGAGTCCATTTGGCCTTTCTAGCTTGTTATGTACTTATTAGGTAATCAATAATCATGTAGTTATCAATCCAAGGACCTCATCCAGTTGTTACTTGAAAGAAGGCATGGTATTGGCATCAACAACATGGTTCCATACTCCCACAGCACTGAAGGCTAAGAATTTCCTCCTGTTCTCAGTTTTTAAATGCTAAATAGAGTCCAATTGTGCTTTCTGCTTTAAGTTTCACTAATCATTCTGAAGAAGTCCACTGCTTTTACTTTGGCAAGGTCTTCAAGGATTCTGAATACTCCCCGTAATCTTGTCTGTTTAAGATTATGTGACCGCAATGCAGTTCAGGTGGTGGCAGCTTGGAGGGAATCTACAGTACCTTCTTATCAACATACAGAAGGAAACTGCAGTGGAATCCTCTTTTTCTAATGCTGAATTTGAGACTGAATGTGAGTCTCATCGTGGTGCAGACAGCTTTGATACTGTATCTGCAAAAGGCTGATTTTAGACGATTCCCTTGGCAATCTACAATTAAATTGTAGATTTCATTTTCTGCTCATTTAAACTTTAAATGTAATGCAGTATACATATATATTGTGTATATGGTGAGTAAATCAATGCAAACAAGCCCACTCGATGTGACTGCTCATGTCTGGATCTGTCAGTTCATAAGGAATAATGGAATATATGATCTTAATGCTATAAAGCATCCCATTGCATTACATCTGTCTTCTTTGTACAGCTCATGTTTCCTCTTTTGACAATTAAGTAATATACTGTAGCTGTATTAAGAAAATTGACAGCTTAATGCACTCAAGATAAGAGACCTTTAGAGGGAAAGCACTTTTTGTAACATTTTATGGTTAATATCTTAATGACACAGAAATAAACACAAAGCAAGAATGTAACTGAAAGGAGCTGACTCAGTAGTTAGGTTACCGGAGGTTAATACAAACGTTTTGCCTAATTAATCAATGCTTTTTGACATAAACATTTTGTAAAAGGAATGTTTTACAGATGGGGAAAATGTAGCTCCTGGCATTGGTTCCTTAGAAGTAATTTCTAAGACATTATAGAGAGCCATATTGTTTCCAAAAACAGTGATTATTTAAAACCTGGTAATCTTTCAGGGTCATATCAATGATTTCTCAATATTAACATTGCTGGATTAAAACAAAGCTGGCAAACTGAAAAGCTCCATTCACAACAGTCACTTTCCAAATGCTATTTTTCATTGTTTGATTTGGACAAAGTATCCTGTGGGCAAGGTTTTGGCCACTTTTATTATACTTGGTTCAAATAAGATCAGAATTCTCCATTAAACTGATAGTGTAAAATGGTTCCAGGGGAGGATAGCAAAATATTGCTTCAGAACATTTTAATATATGTGATGACTCCTAGCAACAGGACCCACACTATAAGAATTGGAAATTACAGTATATGTAATAGAAAACTGTTTGTGATAATATATTCACAAATAGAGCAAAATAGAGAAAAAATCACAAAAACTCTAAAAAACAATTTTATAAACCAAGATAATTTGATATTTTCCTTTTTCATTCATGCCATTTGGCAATGATTCTTTTGTACATGTAATGCTATCAAAGTCAATCTAACACTTTATTTGGGTTTTGATTGTTCAAATCACAAAGCACCACTAAACCTGTGATAACATTTTAACAAAATATTGCTTGAATTGTTCTCACACAGTTATAGGGTTTTATATAAAAGGTATGCAGAGTGAAACATTTTACCATGAAAACATTAAGCTTAAAAAAAATCAGTGAATATTTATGGTTGAATAGTGGGACACATCACAGTGATCACATCACTGCACATGGAACCAGAAGCCCCTTCACTTCTACGTTAAATCACTACCCCCTCCTATAGATAGTTGTCTATTTATTTGTGAAATGGCTTACAGTCTTTGTATAAAAGACAAGAGCATGAAATAAAAAAAGGTTAAAGAAAAAGAATGTATTCAATCACGAAGAGTTACAAACCAAGAGGGACATACATGAAGTATATCATTCATTTAGACCGTTTCGTAAACGAACTTGGATTACAACTTCTACACTAGACACTCGAAAGCAAGTACATCACTCATAGGAATTAAATTGATATCAGCTGGGGTTGAGGTAACAATTGAATTCTTGAGCTGTAATGCAGAATGTTGAATACTCATCCAATCTGTGTGGATTCAGATCTCCCACTGACACAAAGAACAGTGGCAGGCTTGTTGCTATGTCCGATCGGTGCTCTCTGGCTCGGTGCCAGGCAATGCTGTTGCGGCTTGCGACGTGGTGGAAGGAGGAAGAGATTTCAGCTGCGATGCTCTAGCAGTGTGCTCTCTGAAGACCGGCTAGTTAGTTCTGGCTTACTAGCAAAGTTGTGCACAGGAGAAAAGTGACTGCGGGTCCCAGCAGGTCACACTCTTTAGATAGGAAGAAGACCGGTTCATTCCTGATATAGCGCTAGTTCTGAATACTGATTTCAGCTGTCCACAGTTCCGACCGTAGTTCACTTGTTGATCAGGTGAGCTTTGCGGTGAGCTCACGAAGCTTGCTGCTGGGCTAACTTTGGGTGGATCCTTTGGTTACGCGCTGGAGACCTCCGTTCTCGACTCTTAGAACAAAGAAAAATCCTGCACCCGGACACACTGGCCATTACGTGGTGGTCCAAGCTGAGTCTGAGGATGTCCAGGAGGCGCTGAGGCGCGTGGAGGAAGCCCTGTGCTGCCTGTTTTACCTGGAGGAACTACAGTCATTCATTGGTTGAAAGTTTCGTGGGCATCCAAGACCTACATGGGGTTAACCTGCCCTACAAGTTCCTGATTGGCTGATCTACAGTAGGTGGAGGATGAGTAGCCATGCACTCTGACCTTGGGGTTGTAAACAACTTGGGATGAGACTCTTCTAGACAGTAAGGCACCAGAGATGACCATTTATTAGGGTTGCTGGAGAATCTCAGCACTGGGAGTTGTTCCTTATCAGGACACTCTATCGGCTAGAAAAACACCTTCATTGTGAACCAAATGGAATGGCCTCTCTGTATCAAGCACCACTGAGATGAAGGAGAGAGGGACTGGCAAGGGAGCAGCAGACTTAATTCCTGTATTTTAATAAGCCTTGCCGCTACACCAGTATTCCAGAATATGTCATAAAATTGTTTGAGAAAGCGTTACAGTTCCACGATTCTAAATATACCTAAACACAATGCAGCTTCCACAATATTGATTCAATTACAAATTGTGCCATTTTTTTGTACAGTTGTCATGCTTAAATGGTAAACAAAATGTTTTTATGTATATCTAAAAACAATATTACTGCAATACTACTACTACTACTACTAATAATAATAATAATAATAGTCCAACACTATTATCTAGTTTTTAACACTATTATCACTATTATCTAGTACAGTTCCAATTTGAATACCTGTGGTCGAATAGTGAGTCAGACTCTGACATTCCTATCCTGAGTACCACATAAAATAATATATGCTTATTATAATATTATGTAATATTTTTATGGTGATTGGGGAAGAAACGTCACCTTACAAATATTTTATTTTTGTTCTGCTTTTGAGGGGTGACAGTAGTGCAGTGGCATCACAGCACTGAAGCCCTGGATTCTGTTTCGTGGGGTGCTATGTTCTTGGGGGGTTTTGCCAGCTGCTTTGGTTTCCTCCCATAGTCCAAAGACATATCTGTAAGTACATTGGCTTCTGGAAAAACGGTCTCTGGTGTGAGTGTGACTGGACGTGTCTGTGTCTGCGTGTCTGCCCTGCAGTGGACCGGCGTCCCTTCCAGGCTGTATCTTTCCTTGCGCCAGTTGATTGCCATGACCCCGAACTGAATAAAATGGTTAGAAATGGATGGGTGGATGATCTGCTAAATATATAGTTTAAGGGTTTGTTCAGTAGCAAAGAGAAAATTCATAAATTATAATAAACAAGGAATGTCCTGTCATCTGGTTATGCAATTCAGTACAGAGCTGTGCAACAATTGAGTGAGGAACAGTGTAACATGTACAACCTCCAAAACAGGTCGACAGTGCATTTAAGACTAATCTGCTGCATTTCAGGAATCTGCCACACGGTATTAAGCAAAATGCCACAAAATCACACAATACCCTCAACAGGATGACTGGAGTGCTCAAGGTCGGGGATTTTACTGCTCAGAATCTAGAGACGCAACAAATGGCATCAGTCACTGCTTGTGTTTTCTTTTTTTAAGGCCACATTCTGGGAGCTGCCTGCTGGTGTATCATCTGTCATCAGAGCAATGAAACCTGCAGCCCGACCGTCTGTTGGCGCTCAGTCATTCTGTCAGCATTGCCTGCTGCAGCTGCATGCAAGCAAGACGTTCCTGCCCGCTTGGCGCTCCGCAGGGCTCAAAGAATCATGCAGCACCAAGGCATGAGACGAATTCTAATTAACCCCCTGAAGAGGGAACCAAACGAAAGCTAGAAGATGTTTGTTTTCATGTGGAAGCTTTTTTTTCTTTTCAAGAGAAATTACACAGCTATGAATTAATATTGGTTAACAATGATAACATAGAATTTCAAGTGTTTACTCTTTGTACCTAAAGAGTGACTGAAAATGGTTCCAGTTCAATTGTAACCTGAAAAACTGTTTTTTGTTTACAAGTGACCTTATTCAAAATAGGTAGAGTTTAAGGAACTGGTTTTATTATTTCTTAAAAGCTCGCAGATACTATTTTAACTATTTTTACACATAAAATGAATCATATCTCTTCAGTTCTCTGGTGAATTAAACATTATGTTCAGTATTATCATGACATTATATGGAACGCTAATGAGTACAGGTACCTGGGTTGGAATGTACTGTAGATTTACCAATCAGTGAAAAATTAGATATGAGTCATACTGTACAGTATGTCTTTCTTCTTTGCTTGCATTTTTAAATATACTTACATGCATTATACCTTTTAGGTTATGGTGTATCTAGATAGGATGCTGCATTAACTATTTCACAAATACAGTACTTTGTTAAAGGCACACAACTCATTGTTTAGTGTGGACCCAAGTCCCTAAGTATTTTTATAAGGTTTGACCCCAAGCTTCTCTCTCCCTGCCTGTGTGTCTCATGGAGAGTAAGCTGGGGTTTGCAAAAAGACAAATTCCTAACGCAAGAAATTGTATATGGCTAATAAAGTTATCTTATCTTTATTATATATCTTTATTATTATATATATCTTTATCATATTAATATACTCCTTCAACTACTTAATGAGGGCTGGATTAAAAAGGCAGCTGCTTGGGGCTCCTGCTAGTTACAGTAAGTACGTCCAAGATATTCAAATGAATGGGAAATTTTCTTTTTTTATGTTCCACCTTAAAAAGGACCTGTCTGGACAGCAAGAAAGTGAACCAGCTATTCTGTTGTTTGTTTTACTGCAGACCATTGAAATAACAATATGTTTCTTGGAACACACAATGCAGTACACTGTGTTTCTTTTCAGGAGACAAAAGTTTGAAGGTTTCTGATGAATCTACTAAAAGTAATTACTGCTTCAATATGAATCCTTGGGCAGTATTACAGGTACTGTACGGTATTTCTGAAACAGTTGTTTGAATAGATCACAAACATTATAAACATTGTGTACAATAATTACTTATTTGTGTAACATTCACAGATCTATCTAGGTAAAAAACCTATTTCTCGGAGTTCAATTTTGTTTAATTTTAAACCTTTTACATTCAAACACAGAACTTTAAGCACTGTTGAAGATAAAAGCTTTCAGGTTCCAGGAATTTCTTGAAAAAAAAATATTTTAGCTTTAGGTTTGAGCTTTGAAGGAAGATGGGTAGCTGCTATAAACTCACATTTTGAAAATAATTACAAAAATATTTTGAGAGTTAAAGCTAGTTTTTAGAAAGTTACAGACAGAGACATACTGTAAGTACCCTTGTGATGAAAACACTTTGTCAAGTCTGCAGTGCAAACAACTCTGCTCCGGAAATACTTTATTTACTAAAGTTAAAGGTGGTTACTACCAGTTAAACTGATACCGGGTCATCCTTATAGCCTCAAAGTAAACCGCATAATAGTTTTCAGCAATGAATCACGATGCTGGACAGGGTTGATATATTTCAGCTGGGATCAATAACAGTAGTGGGCAGTTTGAAAATTAACAGCTTAGATTAATGATTACTTTCATGGACTTCGGCTCTGTTTTTTTTTTCTTTAGAGTAAACAATTCCTTGCCAGATGGACTGCCATTAAGTGCAGAAGTGAAACAGATTCAGCACTTCAGTGCTTAAAAAGTACAGGAAAATATCTAAAAGCAGGATACAGCTAGGACTTAGCCTTCATAACAATAAGGAACTAAATGAATTTTCAGTGAGATGTTAGGGTCACGGAAGCACAACCATATTATTGAGACACCGGACACTGGGAAATGGCAGGTGAGTGCAGTTGATGTGAACAGTAGGGCTAATGAGAACGATGGGAGCTGCTGTATTCACATGGATAGCGACAGGTTCAGTGGCACTGACAGTAAAAGGTGGGCAGAGCTGAGTAACTACATTCTCAAGCTTAAATTTTATGGTAAGCTAAAATATATATATATATTTTACAGATTAAAAAAAATATACAAAATTATTGCTCTTTCATTGTTTTGTGTACAATATATTTTTCATAAACTGTTGACATCCCTTTACCTTATCTCAAAATTATCAACTGACAATTCTGTTTCATTTTCCTATAAAAATAATAAATTACCCCAATGTACATAATGGCAATAATATGTGTCATTTATAAATTTATTTCAGCTGAGAACAAGGCAGTGTATACAGATGCAGCCATTCAAAATGCGCTGGCGATACCGCATTATTTTGCGGTACGCTGTACGCAGTCTACCGCAAGCTACCGGTAAATACCGCGAGTTACCGTAAATTCTCTTATAATACGACAAGCAAAATAATAGTATCCGGAATTTCCGCAAGGTGGAGCTAATAAAGCTCAACCTCTCATGTTTGAGCT